GGTATCAAATCCTGTTGGCCACCCCTTCTAGGAAACATCCTTTCCCTTGGCTTCCAGGTCACTGTCTCTTCCTGGAGGCCATTTATCTTCTTTCTCTTCCCCCTCCCCAAATCTGTAGCTCCCTCAGCAGTCTCACAACCTCACCCTCATCTTTACCCAAACGAATCTCACTTCCAGATCCCTGGGCCTGACTTCCCTCCTCAGTTCCAATCCCACTTTCCTGACTATATATCTCCAATTGGCACACAAAATTCAAAACTACCCAAACTGAACTTTTAAAAAATCTGTTATTTTCTTTTATGTTCCTGGTTTCCTTTTCTGGCAAGATCATGTAACCTGCACTAAACCCACAAGGGCTCCTTCCCATCTAGCTCCCAAATTGAGGAGTGATTCTGACCCAGCTCTGTAATGTCTGCCCCTCCTCTCCACTCCTGCTCCCTCGCCCAAGTTCACACATGCATTTCTGACGTGGCTGTCTAATAGATCTTCCCTTGTTCTACTCCTCCCTACAAACAACTGCCAGATGGATTCTTCTGAAGCCCTCAGTGATTACTCACTACCCACAGAGCAAAGCCCTTGTCCTCAGTCCGGTGCTCAAGGCCCTTGACACGTTGGCCCCAACCTAGCCCTCCAGAGAGATTCCCCATGACCCTCTCTTCTCTCTGCCTGCCCTTATCCCAGGTGGAACAACGTGTCCCTTCCTGTTCTCCCCAGGGCTCCACTCTTTCCTGATGCCATGAGTTTGCTCACCCCCTTCTCTTACATGGAATTCTCTTCCTTCCATCTTTTCATGTCTGAATTTACTTTCTTCAGGATCCAACTCAAACATTCCCTCATCTATAAAACACTTCCTGATCCACTCAGTTAAAAACAACCTCCCCACTCACCTGCATCCCACCTCAATTCACCTGTTCCTCTCTCTGACACCTCCATATGTCTGATTTTTTTTTAAGATTTCATTTATTAGCCCTGGCTGGCATAGCTCAGTGGATTGAGTGCAGGCTGCGAACCAAAGCATCGCAGGTTCGATTCCCAGTCAGGGCACCTGCCTGGGTTGCAGGCCACGGCCCCCAGCAACCACACATTGATATTTCTCTCTCTCTCTCTTTCTCCCTCCTTCCCTCTCTAAAAATAAATAAATGAAATCTTTAAAAAAAAGACTTCATTTATTTACTTTCAGAGAGGAAAGGAGGGAGGAAAGAGGAAGAGAAACATCAATGTGTGGTTGCCTCTCATGCGCCCCCAACTGGGGACCTGGCCTGCAGTCCAGGCATGTGCCCTGACTGGGAATCAAACCAGCAACCCCTTGCTTTGCAAGCCGGCACTCAATCCACTGAGCCACACTAGTCAGGGCCATATGTCTGATCTTCACATGTACAGCCTTAAAGCAGAAGACATCCTGTTTCTACTACTGAACTGTTAGCTCACCAAGGACAAGATTTCTATTTGAATTCCTCTAGTAGGACACCCAAGAAATAGTAGGCACATAATAAGTCTGGGATAAATGAGTAAATGGTGAAATGTGGGAAAGTGTTTGAATGAAAGGGCTTCACATACTCCAGCCAATACTTAAATGAAGGGGTTTTGCAATAAGTGGGTCTGGGTTTGGATTTGGAGTAGGGGAGGTGCCCAGGAGAAAGGGTTAAACCCCACATCCTACAGTGGCAGACCCCTAGGTACCGCACCCCTTCTCATGCCCCTAGGTACCACCCTTGTTCCAGGTCAGGAGGCACAGCACCTAAGCCCTGTCCTCAGCCCCTCAGATCAGGTCAGAGGAAGAACAGCTGTCCTTCTGTGTCCATAAGGACTAGGCTGGGTCCCAGCCCACCACACCTAAGTAAGCACCAAATTGCCAGCTCAATGCTACTAGCCTCATGGGGACCTCCTTCTGAGGGTGTAAGTAGCTTTTAAAAGCACTGGATGAAAAATAAGAGAACCTGAATTCCAGCTCTGGCTATACCATGAACTAGCTGTGTGACCTTTACTGTCACACCCAGACATGGAACAAAATCAGCACTTCCAAAATGCCATTTCACAGGCCATCAAACAAGGCATCCACATCTGGGAGGGAGCATCCATTACCAAATCCCAGACGGGCACTTCACAAACTTAGTGAGGGACATGGTGAACAAGATGCTCACCAAGATACACTGGGCTAGGAATCAGGAACCTGCTAGAGACACAGCTTACAGGGGCTGGAAAGTCTTTGGCATCTGCTCTTTTCTCAGGACCCCTGAGTTCATGACTTTTTCCCAGCAGCTTCCCCCGTGGTTGATCGCAGCTGCTGCTGCACAGCCCTGGTGAGAAGATGTAAATGGGCCTCTTTCCAGAAACTAGACTGAGGTGGGTGAGGAGGGGATCTTAGGAGGGCACACTTCCTGGTGGTCACCATGCACCCTCATCTCTCATGGAAGGGTGGGTCAGCCTCCACATGCACTAACCTCTCACCATCTGGGATCTCTGGGTGGGGGCCAGAGCAGACTTGCACATCTGCAACTGGGACTGGGCTGGAGGACAGGGGATGCACAGACTCACAACACCCCCAGTGTCTCTTTGCATCCAGCAGACAACAGGGAACAAAGATGTCCCAAATTCAGCCAATGGCTTAAACCCAAAGAAAAGTTTTTTCCTAACCCCCACCCCCCACCCCAACCCTCCAAATAGTCAAAGAACCAATGGCATCATTCTTGTCCTGCATCCTAAGGGAAGAAGCTACCCTCGAGCAGCCTCTCTACCACCCTTCACATGCCCCGACGAGCAGAGTAGTTCAGGGAGGCCAAGGGAGGACAGGCACTCCCAGGTAGGGTGAGGCTAGCCATAGGCTGGGTGTGCCTGTCACCAACTAGTAGTCTAATCTTGAACACATCTCATTTCTCTGGCTTTTGTTGCTTTACCTTGACAATGAGGAGACAGAGCAAATCAACTCAAGGTTGCTTTACCCTGTACTTGAGGAGGCTTGTTCCCAGGCCAGGTCCACAAGACAAAGAGGAGGACCACAGTGGTTACAGAGGACTGTGGTCAGAAGGCTGGGAGGTGTCTGGTGGCTCTACCTGTGTCCTGACATAAGGAGGGGGTTCCTCACTTGGGGATAAGAAGAGGAGGCTGTGGAGTCCATCAATCCTGCCTAGAGGGCCATGAGAGCAACATGAGGACAAAAGAAGGAAGTCAACTGTGTATGGCACCCCTGCCCCCAGGAGGCAGGAATGGGAGGGTAGAAAGAACACCTGCCACCCAATGAAAGGCAAGCTACATGGGCATGGAAATGAGGACCCAGTGGTGAGGTGGAAGTCTAGGAGCAAAGCTGCTGCCTGTGGGCAGAGTGGCATTTATTAGGTGGCACAATTCTGAGAGAATATCAACCAGTAGGAAAGACAGTCATTATAGGGGTGGAGGGAAACCACCCTTATGGTTGGAACCTCCCAGTGGGTGCAGGAGGAAGCCATCTTTTGGGGTATACAACCTACAACTGAGTAGTAATCAGATCCATATGGGTAAGAACCCACAGCCCAAGTGTGAGCAGGGTGAGGAGGGAGGGAACCTTGCCCACTGGTGGACAACCCCTCCCTGGAACCCAGGCCAGGGTGCAGCTCAGGCTCCAGGAAGGAAAGAGCATGCAGAGAGAGAATCTTTGCACAAAGCACCAGACTCCCTCCTTTCCCCATCGTAGAGTCCTCCAGCAAGCCTGAGGAGCTTTCCACGCATCCAGTTCCTCTTGTTGGAAGGAAAGATAAAGGATGTCCCTAAAAGGCTAAAAGTTCCTGGGCCTGTCGTGTGGAAGCAGAGAGAGGTGGCAGCTGGGGCTGGGCAGAGGAGGGGAGGGGTTGCGAAGGGGAGAGGGTAGCAGTGGATCGGGACTCAGGATCCAATTACATGGCTGTTTCCATACTTAGCCACCTGACAGCCGCTTGGAATCCTCTACACTCCAGCCACTGCAGCCCCATGGAGCCCAAATTAACTCAAGGGCAGACAAGGGCAGGGCCCGGCAGCACATTCAAAGCTGGAGCCCCCCATCTTGGTCTCTAACTCCTGAGATAATGGCTTCTGATGCCCCCACCACCTGCTCTCCTGGCTGGGACTAGGACCTCAAAAACAGAACCTCAAAGATCAGAAAGGCTAGAGCTCTGGCCCCCATGGTCCCTGGACAGATAAGGACTGCAGAATCACAGGAAGACAAGGCAGAGACCCAGATTCCTGTGGGGGTCCCCAGAGCACCCCCCACCAAAGCATCCCCAAGGGGAACCCGCCCCAGGAATCTAAGGAACAGAGAGGTGGCAAAATGCTCTGGTATTCCCTCCACACCTATAAATAACCCCCATGTTGTAACCAGAGCTGCTTCTGCCACACAGTGCTGAGATGTCAGAGAAAAACCATGGCACACAGGCCCCCAGCCACTTCTAACAAAGCCCCAGACAAGCCCAGAACAGTCCTGTTCCTTTTATGAACACTGTCCAATTGTTTCCAAGCTATTCCTCAACTCTCTCCCCAATTCCATCCCAAGCTGATCCCCACTCTATCCCACTGCTCCCCAGACGACCCCCACTCTGTCCCCTGTCCTCAATTATGCAAAGCCAGGCCCCCTGCCAGCTTTCCACCAGGGGAGAGAGTCAACTCAGTGACTTCCAGGGGCCTCTCCAGCTCCAAGACTGGATCTTTTGTCTGGCTAGGAGGCTCCTCTAGTCTTGACTTCTGGGATCTTCTTCTCCATCATCTACTGGCCAGACCTTCTCTCTGGCCCCTAGCTCAGAACTCACCCCTTCCTGTACCGCTCAGTTCACTGTTTCTGCCCCCTCTGGCCTCCCCAAGAGCCCCTTGAATGCTCTCAGGTTCTCTCCACACCCAGTTCTTTCTCCTGGGCCCCAGGGGAGAAGAGAATGAGAATGAAACTAGATCGGCCATCAGCCCCAGGAATCCTGGAAGCCTCATTCTCCCGCTACCACTCGAGCCCACCACACCACAGACGGGAGCAAAGTCTGGCCTGGCCCACAGGGGTGGGGTCATACCTGCTTGTCCTGGGAGCAGGAACGACGCCACAAAGCAGCAGAGCAGAACCAGCGCCCTCATGGTGACTGCCAAGAGAGCCCAGCTGCTCCTTGCCTCTATTTATAGGGCTGGTGGCAGCATGGGCGGGGGAGAAGGGTCACACAGTCACTAGGGCAACTGGACAAGCGTGATGCGGAAGCAGCACCAGCCCTGTGAGGCCGAGAGGAGGCTTGCTCTGCCACTGCTGTGCCAGCCGCCAGGCTCTGGAAGGCAAAGCCCTGGCTGGTGCTTCTCCTACAGCAGCCCTGAAGTCACATGACGTGGGTCACAGGGTGGAGGAAGCAGGGGGGGAAAGTGGGACGTCTCTTGAGTTAGGTCTGGGACCTGAGTCTTCCCAGTATTCACACTAACTTAATCCAAAGTCTGCAGCAAGTCCACGACCTTGACTTGTCTGTTTTCTGAAGGAGGGAGTGTGTAGGGCCAAGCAACAAGGACCCTATTTGAGAACCACAGACATATGTTTCAGCCCCTCTCCAAAGGTCAGGAGGGTAAAGTCATAATGGTTAGTTAAGGAAAAGCCTCAATGTCTCATCTTTGAGATCAATGGCTAGCAGTTAAACTTCCCAGACCTCTGGAAGAGACAGAATGTTGATTGGCCAGGCTGGGGGGAGGAGCTAAGAGACACATCTGATGCTGTAAGCCAGAGGGTGGAAGGACAGAGATGCATTTCCAGTGGCGCAGGAGTTCCAGAACCTTCTGTCACCTCCTTGATGTGCTATTTGATGCGATTTTCCTAAGAGCATGTGACAACCCCTGAGAGCCAGTTCTAAAAAGCTGAGGTAAAGCAGACACTAGCTTGTCTGGCCTGGGGAAGGTGTCATTGTGAGGGTAACAGTAAGCACCCCTGAAAAGGAACAAGAATCGATTAGGTATCTTGTGCGTGACTTACCTCTAGAACAGCTTTACTGACATCTAATCGGAGACAGTAAAAAAATAAGATTCCTCACTCCCAAATTTTCCTTTTGTCCCTTCACAGTCCCTCCCTTTACCCCTTCCCAGGCAACCACTGATCTGCAGTTACTACACACTAGTTTGCGTTTCCTAGATTTTTATACAAATGGAATCATGTCCATATGATTCCTTTTTATCTGTCTTCTTTTACTCAGCACGACTGTTTTTAACATTATTCATGCTGTAGCATGTACCAATAGTTCATTCCTTTTTATTCTGAGTGGTATCCCATTGTGTGAATATACAGCAGGTCCTTGAATGAATGTCCTTTCATTCAACATTGTTTCCTGATAACATTGATGAGATGCCACAGTAAACTAACTCTTGTTTATATCAATTAGCCTATGGTACTCTAATTCAATGGATACTTGTGGCAGAAGATGTTCTGAAAGGAAACTTTGGCGCTGCCATATCACAAGCAAGGCCTCGGCAGGGGAAAGACATTATATATGTCAAACCAGAGGGGGTTTCCTTCAATACCCCAGCTCAAATCAGGTCCCAAGTCTGAGAGAAAATGCTGCCCACAATTTCCAGCTGGCTCCCCACCACGGCCAGGGATTCTTATTAATCTCTTAGTATAGTAAAATATCCAGTCCGTGTTGACAAAAAAAAAAAGTTAGCCTATGGTAAAACTGGTTTCATTATGTTGTTTCACTTAAGGTCACAGAGCCTACTGACGACATTAAGTGAAGACTTACTGTACCACAATTTGTTATCAATTAACCTGTTGAGAGACATTAGTTTCCGAGTTTGGGCTTTTACCAATCAGCTGCTATAAACATTCATATACAAATAAATATATGGTCATATGCCTTCATTCCTCTTGGGTAAATATCTAGCAGTCAAATGGTTGGGTCACATTATAGGTGTCTAACTTTTTTCTAAGATTGTACCATTTTATGTTCCCCACCACTAGTTCCTCCACATCCTTGTCAACACTTGGTATGGTCAGTCTTTTAAATTTTAGTTATTCTTATAAGTGTATAGTGATATCTCACTGTAGTTCTAATTTGCATCTTCCTATTGACTAAAGTTTCCATGCTCGTATTTGTCGTCCGCATCTTTGGTGTTGCTTGTTGAAAGCTTTTGCCCATTTTTCTGGGTTTTCTTTTATTGAGTTTTGAGAGTTCTTTATATATGCTGGATACAAGCCTTTTTTCAGCTGTGTCTTTGTAAGTACTTTCTCCCAGTCTGTGTTTTGTCTTTTCATTTACTTAAGTGTCTTTCAAAGAGCAAAAATTCTTAATTTTCATCACATCTTTTATGTTCTTTTTTGAATTATGCTTCCAATGTCATACCTAAGAATTCTTTTCCTAGCCCAAGGTCACAAGATTTCTCCCTGCTTTCTTCTAAAAGTGTAATAGTTGAAGCCCTGGCCGGTGTAGCTCAGTGGATTGATCTCGGGCTATGAACCAAAGAGTTGCTGGTTTGATTCCCAGTCAAAGCATATGCCTAGGTTGCAGGCCAGGTCCCCAGTGGGGGCCATGTGAGAGGCAACCACACATTGATGTTTCTCTCCCTCTCTTTCTCCCTCCCTTTCCCTCTATCTAAATAAAAAAAAAATTAAAAGTGTAATAGTTGTAGGTTTACATTTAGATGTATGATCCATTTTGTGCTATTTTTTAAAATATGTTGCAAAATATGGAACAAATTGAGATGTTTGCATATGGATACCCAATTGTTTCATCAGCATTTGTTGAAAAGACTATCCTTTCTCCACTGAATTGCCTTTGAACTTTTTTGAAAATCAATTGACTGATGTGTGTGAATCCATTTCTAGATCACATTCTGTTCCACTGATCTGTGTGTCTGTCCTTTCAGTGATACCGTCCTGTCTTCATCACCATGAGTTCTCAGTAAGTCTTGGAATCAGCTAGTGTGAACCCTTCAACTTTGATCTTTTTCAAAGTTGTTTTGACTATTCTAGTTACTTTTTCCTACCATATGAACTTTGGAATCAGCCTGCCAATTGTTTTTTTTAAAGCCTCCTTGGATTTTAACTAGAATTACAATGGAACTACAGATTAACTTGAAGAGAACTGACAAGTCACCAATTGCAATGGTTAATTTTCTGGCAGCTTGACTAGGCTGTGGTGTCCCACTGTTTGGCCAAACATTAGTCTGGATGTTGCTGTGAAGGCATTTTTAGATGTGATTAGCATTTAAAACAGTTGACTTTAAGTAAAACAGATCACCCTCCACTAGACTGGTGGGTTTCATCCAATCAGTTGAAAACACTGAGCTTCCATGAGGAGAAAAGAACTGCCTCAGATTGCCTTCCAACTGCCACATCGACTCTTGCTGAAATTTCCAGTCTGTCAACTTCCCCTGTGGATTTCAGACTTTCCAGGCCCCACAGTCTCTCTCTATAAATACACATCTTATTGGTTCTGCTTCTCAGGAGAATCCTGACTAACACACCAATACTGAATCTTCTAATTCATGTTCATGGCTGGGCAGAGGGGCCAACGTGAGAGGAGAAGGTAGCACCTCATCATGGAGAGGATAGGAATTAGATGATGTGTCCACTCTGTGCTTCACATGTGACAAGAGGTGGGCACACATTACCATTTTATAAGAAGACAACTGACGTTCAGAGAGCTGAAGTGACCTGTTTAATATCACCGACAAGGAATGAAGTTGCTGCATTGGAACCTGGATTGTCTGACTCACAAACCCATGACTTTTCGCATAAGTCCAAGCAAACACCATCAGGGGAGGAGAAGAACCAGCATGTCAGGGAAAGATGCGGAGAGCTGTGTGGGAGGCACGGGGACAGAGAATGGGCACAGGCTGAAGCATCAGAGAAAACCACAGAACCCCAACCCAGGCAGGAAGGGAAAGGGTGAGCCTAGTACTGTTTAAAGGGTTAACTGCATTTGCTTTAAAGATACCTTGTTTGATTCCCTGTGAGGTCCAGTGACCCATGGTGGCATGCTGTACTTCCACATTAGGGAGACAGAGAAGAAGTGCTTTCAAGAGGAGATTCCAGACAAGACGATGGTTATAAGAAAGTACCACATGCAGCTGTATGACAAGCAGCAGAAGTACCAGCCAGCCACCCCCAGGCTTGGCATGTTCATGGAGGTGAAGGACTGAGAAGACAAGGTCACTCTGGCCTGTCAGTATGGCTCTGAAGGCGGGTTCACTTTCACAACCTACACCCCTGGCCACCATCAGATCTATCTTTAATTCCACCAAGTTCTCCCTTCTTGCTGGAGGCGTGTTGAGAGTTCATCTAAACATTCAGGTGGGTGAACGCACCAATGACTGTGCAGAAATTGCTGCCAAAAACAAGCTGAGTGAGTTGCAGCTACAAGTATGTCAAATGGTGGAACAAGTGCAGCAGATCTAGAACTACCAGCGGTAGCGAGAGGAGTGCTTCCAGCAGATTAGTGAAAGCATCAACCAGCAGGTGCTGTGGTGGTCAATTCTGCAAACCCTCATCCTCCTAGCCATCAGTGTCTGGCAGATGTGACATTTCAAGAGCTTCTTTGAAGCTAAGAAGCTAGTGTAGCCTTCCTTCCTCACAGGTTGGGGAAAAATGAGCCTCTTGGAACTGATTTCTCTGTGACAGAAGGACTGGTTCCCAGTATGGATATTCCAGAGGGAAGAGGACTCACATGCACCCCAGGCACAAGCTGAGGGCAGCAGCTCAGCTAGCTAACAGAGAGCAGGCGGTGGGGCAAATGCCTTCCCCCTCTCCTGGGCTCTGAGCCTTTTGCAGTAATCTCCTCTGGGGTGTTGAAGCCACGGGGAGCCCCACTGGCACCTCAGAATCACAGTGTTACTTATCAAGAATGTGACAATATCATCTGGGGTGGCTGGGGGAAGGACTGTGGGTGGGCAAGCCAATTTTCCTCGTCTTCCTTTGCTAACTTGGGATTTTGAGCAGGTTGAGTTGTACCTGTGATTCCCTGCCACCCTGAGAAACTTACTGTTCCCTCCTTAGGCCTAAACCCAGCCTGCTGATCCAGAGGGTGTGTGTCAATTGAGGGTAGATGAAGGGGGCTGCAATTGTGGAAAGTAGCCTCAACTGACCCTGGGTTCTTCACACGGCTGTCCTTTTTGGGGCAGGAGGAACTGGGGTCAGGGTAAGCACAGCTATTGGTGCTGTCTGGGGGTGGGCCCTGCAGAGTCTTAGTTACTGATTTCATCTTCAATAAGCCTAAGTTTGTTACACTGGTTCTCCAATGGGAAAAAACCCAGATTCCTAAAATAACTAAATAAAGATACTTCGTTTGGGCTC